CATTGAAGAAATTGTGGAGCTGTCGGGAGTGACTTGGAGCTCAGTTCAGCGAATTTTGACAGAAGATTTGGGAATGAAAAGGGTGGCTGCGAAATTCGTGCCACGACTGCTGACTGCTGAACAAAAACAAGGTCGCGTGGAAGCATGCTGTGCTTTGAAAGAAGAGTCCCGAAATGATCAAAACTTTTTTTCAGCGTTTTGCTGATATTGCTGAGGTGAAGGAAAAAAACGACGGAGGCACTGTCAAGCATCTCAAAAGATGAATTTAGACAATGTTTTGAAAAATGGAATAAAAGACTAAACAAGTGTATTAGTGTAAGTGGAGAGTACTTTGAAAGGGATTGAAGGTTTGTGCTTAAAATTTGAATAAATAAGTTAAAAAAAATAAGTTCGGTTTCTTTTTGGTACCCCCTCGTATAATAACCACTCTGCTTTAAAGGGCCAGTTGTAGAGAATGTGTAGGTGAAATAACAGAACCAGATTTCTGATTAATCTAGTAGTCAAATAAGCACTGGGTATATACTTCCTATCCCACTTAACCTCGTACGACACAGTCCTTTTTGAGAGGCTGGTAGTAGCTTAGCAGTTCAAGAAATTGTCCACTCTTTATGGGTACCCAACAGTTCATTACTGTGGTCAAAAGATCCCACCACAGGACCCAATCCTGAACCAGATCAATCCAATACACATAACCAAATCCTATCTCTCAAAGATTAATTATTGTACTATCCTCCCATCTACGCCTAGTTCTCCCAGATTCTTGTCTTGTCTTCAGTGCTTCCGGTTAAAGCGTCAATTCATTGAACTCAAGGGCCATTATCTGCCTTTCCGTACATTGTCCAAAACTCTGCGTTTTTCCTCTTTCTCAGTCACTCTTCGACGCTGTCAGTAGCTAGACTTTATATGATCGACGTGACAGATGATAGATTAACGATATAGTCACATGGATGAGTGATTATAAACAGGGTTTGGATTGGTAATTGGACTTAGTGAGCACTTACGAATCGTAACCACAATTAATTATAACGCTATCTCTAATTCACATACTCTGGAGTTCAGTGCAGCATGTACTACGTCTGCTTAGACTGCCTTGTTTTCATCAGTCGTTGCCTGGTACCGGCTTTCAATGACGGACATTACCCTTCCTCTTGGTTCTCGAAATGTTCCCGTGCCTCAGCCACCAGCTTCTCCGCAGCGGTCCTCTAAGTCACTCACTCACCAAACAACTCGCTCCATTCCACTGCACTGAACTAACTTCCTGAGCTCAACTCGGTCGGTCGCGTGATATAGACTTGGAGCGGATCCATAGAAATCACCGCTTCCAACAGTACTTCCATCGTTGCGCGCAAGCCGCTGCCTAGCAACGGTACAGTACTATTCCGTTTTTACAAAGCTATTGCCTAGTAAATGGCCTTAGTCTCGTTGTTTATTTCGCTGTCGTTGCCCAGCATAAGGTCCATATGCCACAATATATTACAGAGATTTGGAAGTGGTCGTGACCTAGTCGATATATTATCCTCCTAGAAGTTCTGAGCAGAATCACAAAATATCTCAGGATAACAGTTATCACAGCAGAGTACAGAGTTACCGCTATGGCAACCCGCTCGATTCTCAAGTTGTTATGTACGGATAGACATACACGGCGCGCAAATATGTCAGGACCGATCTATATGCGAGCAGACTAGTATGCAATCTATGGACGTGGAAGTTACAGCAGTCACAAAAACACAGTTTGTGTACAATAATTTGAATTTTTTTGGTTTCTGTTGCAGTTTCACCGATGATCTGGGTGCCGAACCAATTGGTGGGGGCGCCAGCTGGCACCAACGTCACCATCGACTGCCACACCGAAGCGTACCCCCGCGCCATCAGTTATTGGGTCTACGAAAATGTCATGATTCTTCCGACAAAAAAATACGGGACTGAGACAACGGAAAACAGCTACAGGGCGCACATGAAGCTGACGATCCGAGACTTGAGGGAAAAGGACTTCGGCAATTACAGGTGCATTTCCAAGAACTCGCTGGGCGAGACGGAGGGTTCCATCAGACTGTATGGTGAGTACCGGGACTTACTGTACACAATACAGCGCATGTCCGGACGTAACAATTTGGTTTTTGAAGCCTGACAGCGGAAATTGTCTGCAGACCTGTTGCTGTTGCAGTACATGTGCCATGGTAAAAGTAAAAGTGGTAGAGTTGTCCTGTACTTATCTAATTAAGCATTATGCCATGAAGACGTAGGGGGGAGTGGATGTATAGATCCACGTTTTCTTGACCTCGCCACCAGTTGGAGGTGATTGGCCAGCTTTACGCCCCGGCAGCTTTACCCCGGGGTGAGGGCCTCCGGTGCCCATGGGATAGGCTGGATGGGCCCCTAAGTCGGTCTGGAAAACATGGAGGAAAGAAAATTCTTGTCCCTACCGGAACTCGAACTCCGATCCCTCAGCCGTCCAGCCCGTAGCCAGTCGCTATACCGACTGAGCTATCCCAGCTTATGGAACAGATTTCTTCTCGTAGACCTGATACTCACTTACCTGACAAATTTCCCTGTCAAAAGAGCCTGCGATTTTACCCTACCCTGAGTCAGTTTCTTTATGATCCATTTTAATGTCTTACTCCCATTTATATCTAGGTCTGCCAAATGTAACCTTTGGTGAACCAGATAAAATCCGGTGAGCAGCAGGTCTATAATTTACAAAATTATCCATTATGCAATTCTGTGTCGATTTACGTATTACCTCCCCCTCGTAATGACAAATATTTTCCAAAGCCTTCTGCGCCACCTTGTTCATGGGAGTTATATATACGTGGACCTGGCCCACCAGGTTGGGTGAGTCTCGAATTTGAGAGAGTAAAATATGACCAAGGGTTCCCCGGAATTTGGACCTGAGCATGACTGCGCTGGCAAGGACCAGTAGCGATTGTAACGACAGCCCCATCCTATCGTCAGAGAGGATGTTTCATGAAAACTATAACCGCAAATGTTCAGCTGAAAAATTTACTAGTCGTCAGTCTCAAGGGTCTTGTCGCCAACACGAACTGATTGGCGCGAAACAGCCTTCTGAATTATACGTATTATTTTCTTTCCTTGCCTCCAGTGAGAGACCATCTCTAACGACCAAATAAAATAACAGGCACAATTGGCCTTCTTCCTTTCTTGCTGAAGCTTCAGATAATTGTCCTAAAGTAGACTGATTCTCAATTGAACTACAGCTAACTCCCCCCCTCCCCTTTCAGTCACCCACTCATTTCTTTTTAAATTCCATTTCAGTTTGTTTTCGTGTCTGCATATATAAATTTTGCCACGTTCTCAAACGATTTATTGGCTATTTCCTTCCCTTTAATTATGAGACACAAATATTGTTACATGTATACCCATTGCTAGGCAACGACTCGGTAAGCACATCGCCGCGCAACCGTACGCACGCGATAGTAGAACGTCTATTGCTATGCAACGGCGCGGTAAACACACCTGCTAGGATATACGAGTAAGCTTGGGAGCAGAGAATTTGAACTTCATCGAGTCTTCGGAATTGACAGCTGCAGAAGAGTGGCAAGAGATGAAGTAGGCTGCGGACAAGAAGACTTCATGTGTGATTTGAAGTACAATGGGACTGTAATAAATCCGTTGCCAGGATGCGACTAGTGAAGACTGAGAAACCTAGTAACGGTGAACTCTTATGTGTGTAGAATAGCGATAGCGCTTTATTACCTGTAGTCCCGAATTGTGTGAATGTATCAGGTGCAGTATATCCAATCATTCAATTCAAACCCCGTCTTATAAGTCACCCATACTCGTGAAAATATGTAGCCGTCATTTCTATGTTTATTTCCATATGAATAAGAAACGTTAGAATATTTTGATCTACATACTCCATAAAACTGGGACCACTTGTACCGATGACCGCCAGTTATTGACTTCAAGTTGCTTATACTAAAGCAAACTGTAATAATCAGTTCAGCTGAGAGAGAGAGCATGAAAACATCTTATGTTCACAGCATTTATATAACATTGTGACGGGAGACTGAATAAAACTGCGTAATGAGAAGATTTATAATTTGTTCTCAGGCAGATATTATTATGATAATAAAATCAAGGACATGTAGCACGCGTTGGGGAAAAGTGCGTACATAGTCTTGGTTAGGGAAACTAAATTAAAGAGAACCCATAAACATATAGACATTTATGGAAGGATAATATTGAAATTGATAATATATATGTGGGATGGGAGGGCGTGCACTTCTTAAGCACATTTCTTAAGTAGATGAGCAACTGTGAGCTTCTTAAGTAAAGATTCAGCTCCAAGGACTTAATTGTGAAACATTACGAGTTTTAAGGTTCTCGTGCCTCTAGCTATGGAGATCGCTGGCTTCTGAGATGTAACGCCGTGTAGTTTGGTATATGTATACCATAATTGCGGGGGAACCTCCTCCTTTGGGTACAGTGAAGATACAGGAAACAGGTTTTTCTGAAAGTTGGTTGCGATCAATCAGACTGTAAGACATAACATCCCAGAAGACAGTCTGATTGATCGTGGGTTCTATAAAGTCATATTGTACCTAAATAGTTATAAAAGAATTGTTAGAAGAACGGCTTACCAACTACATTTACTCTTTTCATAAACTTATTAGCTGAAATAGATTTGTTTTTACTTTGCTGCTACCATTAGACTTCCACAGTCTACAGTACGAGATAGGCCTCAAGTCAGAACCACTTTCACCATATAAATCACCTTCTTTGAGGTATATCCTTGTTATGTTCAGACAATAATTCTCATACTCGGTGATATGGGAGTTATCTTTCACCCCTCCCCTCTGCAGGATTCGTGGCAGGGGAGACGCACCCTTCACTCTGTAGTCAGAAAGAGGCTGAAGTGTGTTGGAATGATCCATTTACCACTCCAAGCCCCCTTTCACACAAAGTCGTCTATTGACATCAAACAAACAATTCATATTTTAGGCAACGTAACAGGTCGCTTTGCAAACAACACGAGGACTCGGAACAGTGCTGAGTGTTTCTCTAAAAATTCAGTTTCCTATAGTCTGGTCGTATTTTACCACTTTAAACCAACATCAGCAACCCCACTCTTCTATAATATACTATCCAGTATTTTTGTGAATATATTATCAGAGAGCTGAGGACAGGACGAATCTAAAGTGGCTTGAGTGTTTCATAGTGGTGTATATGAAATCCTGTTATATACTCATATTGCCAGAAAATTATAAATTATTTTTCCTAGCAATATCAGTAGCAATTTATTTTATTATAGATATAGTTATTTTCATGTTTGTAGAACACAGTAAATTAGATTAGTTTCCTTATAATAACGATTAGGATTCTATTGACATGAACAAAACATGTTTAATAACTTCAGTATTAACAGGACAAGTACTGACAGTGTAATTTACATAGTGCAATGTAAATCCAGTAGAATTTATTTTTCAAATACGAATTAATAAAATATATTAAAAACCTTATATAATATTTCATCGTACTAATTTGTGTAACTATCATTTATCAACATGGGATTCTCTATACTGCAAAGACCACAGATGTTGAGAATGCGAAATAAACGTATGAGATGCAACAGAAAATTGAAGAGTTCCATCTTCTGGGATATATTATCGTGTATTCCGTTCAAAGTCAACGGAAATTCAAAGGACTACATTGCGTTATATCCCAGAAGATGGAATCTTTAAAATGACCTCTGTGAGAACCTCAGATCCTAAATAGAATTATTAGTTCTATATCTGTAATTGACTATGGCCAGTACTCTGCTTCAACAGCTGGGACGCAGTCTCTGGATGAAATGGATATACATATCAATTCTGAGAACATACCAACGCCTCAGCCAATATTCCGTGTGTGTAGACTAAGATAACTTATTGGATGAGAAGAGATACACATTCTGATTATGTCTGTTTGTGTTTCAGAAATCCCAATGCCATCATCACCCCCAAAAGCGACAGAAGTTCGCAGCAGCGGAGCGAGTAAAGAAGGTGAGTGAGTAATCTTATCCCAACACTCTAAGTTTGCAAGAGCCCGCCACTGGTCCCTATCCAAAGCCAGATTAATCCAGTCCATCCAATCCATATCCTACCTCTCTCTTTAAGATCCATTTCAGGTCTTCTTAGTGACCTCTTTCCTTCTGACTTTCCAACCGAAATCCTGTATGCATTCCTCATCACCCCCACGCGCACTACATGCCCTGTCTTTCTGACTTGATCGTTTTAATTATATTTGTTAATTAATTATACAATTATGAAGCTCCTCCTTGTGCAGTTCCTTCATCCTCCAATCAATTCATACTTCCATATAGATTCAGTATCAATATGCTGACACAGTCACCTACTGACACGCAGTGATGCTGTCTGCTATGTATCAAAACACACGACATACTAAGAAATGTAGCACCTCCAGAGATTTTTTTTCTGTGGCGCTACAGCCTCAATTTGGGCCTAGGCCTACCTCCATGAAACTCTCCGTTTCACTTCGGTTTACTAGATCTTACACATTCGGTAGGACTCCTTGGGCGAGTGATCAGCTCGTCGCAAGGCCTCTACCTATAGACAAACACAGAAAAACGCACACACAAACTAAACATCCATGCCCTGAGTGGGATTCGAACCCACGATCCCGGTTTCCGAGCGAGCGAAGACAGTGCATGCCTTAGACCGCTCGGCTACCGTGACCGGCAGCGCCTCCAGAGATACTGAGTTGTAACAGTAAAAGAAACGTAGCCTGCCCATTAGATGATCTTTCAACTACTAAGTTGATGCATTTTCAGTTTCTTTTTTTAATAAAAGTATTATAGCAAAATACGAATAAGTAATGCATTTTAGTGTCCTTTTTATATATGTGTAAGCGTACGGGGTTTGTTTTATTTTATGCATTAGGGGTCGTGAGTTCAACCACCTATGAAAACTGGGTCCCGATTGTAAAAATGTTGAAAACCAATTTAGAATGATAATATTAGTGTCTACACGTATACAAAATTCAGTTCCCTGTCAGCTCACTGCTGTTTCACTTCCGTTTGCAGGGATAATATCAATGTCTACCTGTGTATAAAATTCAGTTCCCTGTCAGCTCACTGCTGTTTCACTTCCATTTAGAGGGATAATATCAACGACTATGCATTTATAAAATTCAGTTCCCTGTCAGCTCACTGCTATTTCACTTCCATTTAGAGGGATAATATCACGTCTACCTCTGTATAAAATTCAGTTCCCTGTCAGCTCACTGCTGTTTCACTTCCGTTTAGAGGGATAATATCAACGTCTACATGTGTATAAAATTCAGTTCCCTGTCAGCTCACTGTTGTTTCACTTCCATTTAGAGGGATAATATCACGTCTACATGTGTATAAAATTCAGTTCCCTGTCAGCTCACTGCTGTTTCACTTCCATCTGCAGGGATAATATCACGTCTACGTGTGTATAAAATTCAGTTCCTTGTCAGCTCACTGCTGTTTCACTTCCATTTGCAGGGATAATATCAACGTCTACGTGTGTATAAAATTCAGTTTCCTGTGAGCTCACTGCTGTTTCACTTCCATTTAGAGGAATAATATCACGTCTATGTGTGTATAAAATTCAGTTCCCTGTCAGCTCACTGCTGTTTCACTTCCATTTAGAGGGACAATATCAACGTCTACGCAGATACAAAATTCCGTTTCCTCTCACTTCACTGTTCTTCCCTTTCTTGATTTCAGAAATAATACAAATGTTCGGCTTATGTTTATGTTATGTTTACGATACCGATGTTCATTTTCTTCTATTCCTTTTTCATTTTGTCAGATGCTGATTGATGTATTCTAGTTCTTCAGACATGAAAACTACCAAATTTTCTCCTCCTTGTCCTAAAAGTTCTGGTCACAGTATGTCCTTGTGGTTCTCAGATTTTTTCATTCAGTTATCATCTTATAAAAATTTACCAATTGCAGTAAGGTTATACATTTTACTGTATAGGAATGGTACATATGATCCAATGTTCAAACTTTGTATGCTACAGTACTTTACGGTTCCAGTACAAACCCCAAATCTTCTGTCTGAGCCTGTATGTTATACTGCAGATTGTCAGTGTAGTATAGTGCTACAATAGTATCATTTGGCGTCTTTCAATGCCATTCACTACATTAACATGAATCTGTTATGTAACAATATAATGTTACCTACTCGTCAATATGACCCCAGTTACACAACCATACGTTCATAGACACCTGTTTTATCTGTCTATCATCCCAAAGCGCGTCTCCACGCATGCTTTCGCTTTGACCTTCGCATTGCCGTCTCTGCCTTTAGCCTATACCTTGACATGAAGTAAAGCTGTGTAATTTCTTGTCTTATAAGAACAAAATTTCTATATTATAACCCAATCTCCCATAAGAGAAAAGTGTGAGCCTTAGATCAGCGCGATGTTTGTGTGTACGTATTTTGTCTGGCTGTCCAACTTTCAAATGTTGAACTATTTCACTGATGTCCATTAAATGTTTAGTGAACATNTACGCTAATCTATTTCATTGCTTGCCTTTATAAAATTATTTAAAATTACTTAAATACTTTTTAAATAATTTTATAAAGGCAAGCAATGCAATAGATTAGCGTAATTAGGGCACCTGATGATGGCACTATGTTGCCGAAACATGTCGTGAAGTAACAGGTGAAATTGAGTGCACTACAAGACGGCAGCTGTATACATATCATGTATGTCTTTAGATGTAATGGTAAAATGTTGCTTTTCAGTTTCCCCATTGTCAGTAGCAACAACATGGCAGACACGCGAACTTTTGAAGTGGAAGAAATATTAGTGCAATCTAATTTATATTCCTAATCGATATTTTAAAATATACCTTCAATAAATATACAAATTTTTAAAAGTACTCTAGGTGGATTATATGAAATAACATGGAGGCCATGCAGTGATTATTATTAAGTTTTGATAGCGTAACTGATGAACCAGTGGACTTACATGTGTCTGTAGCCGTATAAATGGATGCAGTTAGAATTATGCTGTATGACTTATGACTTGTACTCAAAACACACTTTTTCTTAATTTCAGACACAAGAACAAGGTGCCCTTCTTATAGATTTTTGCGCCTTATTTTACGAATCTTCCTGTATCCAGACTACACAGTATCGAATGGTACAATCGTTAATGAATGGTAGGTTGAAATTATTTCATTTGAAGGTGTCATGGCTTAATTGAGATAATTACCACATTTTTCCTTGGAGGGACTGAGGAAAATGACGAGAACACCCAAGATAGCAAGAACCTGGCCGAGATTCGAATCCAGCACCTGCTGAATACGATTTGAGAATGATACCTTACGAAGAACTCGTTCTGTTTGTCCTCCTTTTGTGGCACCATGTGAGCCTGCTTATGCCTTTCATGTGACATCGCAGCTCTGAGTATGTCGAAGCGAGGCCGCGCCATAGCTCAAGCGGTTAGTGGCTGGCTTCCCACCGTGGCGGCCCGGGTTCGATCCCGGGTCTGGTCAAGTGGGATTTGTGGTGGACAAAGTGGCGCTGGGAAAGGTTTTCTCCGAGTTCCTCGGTTTCACCTGCCAATCTTCATTCCACCAATTGCTCCACAATCACCCTCACCTATCATCTGGGGCTGGTACAATAGGCCAGAAGTGACCGCAGGCAAGGGACTTAGTCCCACCCCACCAGCAATAAAAAAAAATGTCGAAGCGACATGTGTATTTATACCCACGTCACATAAATATTATTACGATATAATTTCAGAGATCTGCCTTCTTGTTATTTTCTCTTAAAAAATAATTACGTCGTAATTTTAAGTTTCTCTTTAATTTTATGAAACAAAAGAGCTCTACTTCTGTTGAATAACAAATTCACAACTTCTGAACTCACCCCCTTTTTTAAACTTGTGTAGATTCTGCGTGAAAGCAAAAGAAGGCCCTCCCCCCCCTCCAGCCCCATTCATCTTAGGGAGAATAGCTCCTGGGTGTTCTTTGTTAATTGTCTGTTTAATGGCCGTGTCCTCATTACGTCCTCACAGAAAGATGCTACGATCAAGCAAAATGTCTGGAAATTTATTTAATTTGCTTCCTTTATCTTTTCTGTGCACTCTATGTGTTCTTTTCTCCTATAACTTAATCTTGGTCACTTCACAATAAAAGGAGATACGATAGCAGAGAAATTACAAGGTAACCCCCATTGTGGAAGAAGGGCAATTGTGGATTCCCGACGTTTTATAAACAGAAGAATTAAATGAATTACGTAAAACTCGTGTTTCTGCGACTTCAGAGAAGATATGAAGTGTTTAATATAATTTTGTTGCTTCATGCGGCACGCTTTCATGAGGTCACGGTCACAACGATGCAGGATCATAAACGCATTTAATAAAATCCATTTATGACGTCATGTCATATAGGCTTGTAATTGGTCGGTAGGGCTGAGAAGAAGAATGGTCAAATAAAGTTATTCCAAGGTGACCCGTAATGAATTTAAAAACAATTTATGACGCAACTAATTAACTCTTTGGAAATGAGCCCTTTTTGAGGAACCGCCAGTCACGCAGCTACTCAAGATCTTCCCAAAATTTTATGTAACCCGAAGGATCATTACCTTGTTCACAAGAGCCCTCCACTGGTACATATACTAAGCAAGATCAATCCAGACCATACCACCCTGTCCTATTTCTCTGAGCTCAATTTTAATATTAACCATCCACCAACGCCATGGTCTTCCTAGTGGTCTCTTTCCATCTGCTGTTTACGCCAAAATCCTATGTGCATTCCTCTTCTTCCCCATTCGTGCTATATGCCCTGAACATCTCATCCTCCTTGACCTGATCAATTTATGACTCACATGAAACTGTTCACTTTATTCCCCTTGTGTAAAGTGGGCTGAGTTATGGGTCACTGGCTGAAAGCTGGGATTGTCAGCAACATTTAGTGCAAGTCTCTAGTTGCGTCCAGCGGTGTGAGCGCTGATGCTGGGGTAGGTGGATGAACAGACATGGCCTTCGCAAAAGG